TTTCGGGACCCCATTTTGGGTCCCGACCCCAACTTTGGGAAACACTGGTCTAAATCCCTCCTTATTCTAACTTCACCTGCCCCTCTTTCACCCATTTTGTGATGTGTGTCTCAAAGCATCAGATTTTGTTACTATTACTTTAAGACGCTTCTAGCCCTGCCCCCCTCCTGCTTCAAGACCGGTCCACTCCGGTGTGAGAGAAGGGGGGTGGGTATATTTCCTAACTTGCAGAAATGTTTTGTTTCCAATTTAATTAAAAGTTGTCAACAACAGAAGACTTGTTCATCCAGATTTACTTGTTGGAACCGTCTGACCCACAGCCAGAGTCTGACCCACAACCAGAGTCTGACCCACAACCAGAGTCTGAACCACAACCAGAGTCTGACCCACAACCAGAGTCTGACCCAGAACAGAGAAGAATTAACAAGRAAATTGTAGTTGGTAAGTCCAGGCCTTATTTGGGAGTTCTGTCGTAGATAATTTATGAAATAGTTCAGAAAACATCATAGAAAWTAAAAAGAACTGAGCAGKCTGTAAAATCTGACCCAAACAGAATATAAAGATATCTTTGCAGCACCAGCAGAGACTAAATTCAACTTTTCTGCTCCCTGGAGACTCCAGGCTCACAACAAAATGTATTTAAYAGCTAAAAATGTGGATTTTGCAGGATATGTTCTCTTTAAGACAAACTTTAAGAGCTTACTGAATTCATATATTTTTGACTGAAATGTTGCCATTAGCTAGATATTTTTCTGTTAGCAAAAAATCTCATAAATCACAAGAAACTAAACTCTCCGACATGACTAGATGGACATCTAAACTGATTAAAGTCTGGAGTCAAACCACTTCAGTCATGACTAATCAACCTTTAAATCTGAAAATATTACAGATATTATTCAAAAATTTGACATTGTAGTACCTGAGAGTCMTCTTCAACTCATGCTTTAAGTATAAACAGATTGTGACTGTGTCCACTGTCAAAGTTTGACCAAATAATTATAACTCCATCATTTCTTGATGTCAGATGATCTTAGAAAGTCCATTCTAGCAAACACATTAAATTACCGTGTGTTTGAGAAAAGTTTTGAAATAAATAAGACTAGAAAGATCATAAAATGTCAAAGAAATAAAAAAGCTTAAATGATAAAGTTAAACTCCTCACAACAAAAAGTTTAATATTATGTTTAATGATACATATCTTTCTCATTGATACATATTACAGATACAGCCCAAAGGGATGTTTAGAGTTTCAACTCATGAAAGCAGAACCCAGAATACTCATTTATCCAAAATAATCTATATGTGAGCAACAGTAAGCTTTAAATGTTTAATGGTTATTAGATTTATTCTTTCTCTTATTTATAGGCCTACAGATCATTTCCTGTGGAGCTAAAATCAGCCTGCAAGAAAAAATAATCACTTTCTGATTAGTTAGATTTATTCAGAGTTGATTTAGGGGAATAAAAGTTGCCAAAATTGTTTCCACGTAAATCAGAGTATAAACAAGGTTTATCAGAGTGAAGTGGCTGTCAGCACTTCTGTTGACATTAACTCTGTAAAAAGATGATCGTACCTTCAAACGGTGTCAGAAGCAAGGCTCCATGTTTCCTCCAGCTGTTCTCGGCTCTTCAGTGATCCTCCTGCAGCCTTTTAGTCTCTAACAGACGGCCGACTGAGCCGCATCCTATATAATTATGATGCCGGGTCCCCTGAGGGAGCAGCTTCCTCTCAGCCAGGCAGGGCCGGGTCTGAATGAATGAAGGTGGAGTGGGGTCGAGTGGACAGAAACAGGATGTGTGGGGGTGAGAGAGGGCTGTCTCACATTAATGGCAGTGAGACATCCTCTTCTCTGTCTTCTCTCCTCTTTACACAATTATTGACAAATTATATCTATGAAAAGAGGAATGTAATGAAAGCAGAAGAGCCTGAAGTGCATGTTTGCACACAGAGTGAATTATCTGCTTGTTTAAATTTATTAAGGTAAAACTGAACTTAAGTGCATTTAAAAAAAAGACCTAAAGGGACAGTCTGGACATTTTTGAAGTGATCATGCAACACATCTGCCTTGGTGAGCTCCAGGGGTTTATAAGGCTGCAGTCGAGTCCTTCAGTGGAACATTACATATCTTATGGTTCATAGTTTCAGATCCTCCCAGGGATCCCTGTAAATATTTATCATGAATAAACTCAAACATACCTCTTACTCTGACACTGTGTTCACTCTGTCACTCCTCTTGACATCCTCTATTTATGATGCAACTTCTGCAAACCTTAAGCCATTTTATTACAACTTTTCTGTTGAAAACTCATGCTCCTTCTGACTTTTTAAAATAATTAACTTTATTTATTCCATGAAAATACTCTGAGATCTCTTCAGTTCTCTTTTCAATCTGCTCCAACAAGCTTGCTCTGATTTTGAATTATGCTATTTTTGATTTTTAGCTGCTTTTGTGCTAATTGTACAGTAAAAGCCCTGTCACACTATAATGTTTTAGACAACTTACGCCAACTTATGAAAAGGTTTTTATGTCTAAATTACTAACACAAATAATGTATTTGATAAATTGGTTAGCATTACTTCATGCTTAAGAGGATTCCAGTTGATTTTTTTTTATTCCATCTTCAATGTAGATGTCTCCGAACTTTTCACAAGTTGTCTAAAACTTCATAGTGTCACAGGCCCTTTTGTTGGTACTTTTAACCTTTAGCTACCATCGTGTTTCTTTGAAATTTATATCCCATTTGATAATATTGGCATAGTTATTGCTACTTTTAGCATCTAGCTACCCTTTTACTTTAGCTAAGATTTTGCTATTTTTAGTGTTTAGTTAACTTTTTACTATTTGTAGTTGTTTYGTACCCCTTTGTTGCTTTCAGTGATGTCCTGGAGGAAGACTTTTACTTCTCCTCACACCCGGTGCTCAGTGACTGATGTCTGATGAGGTACAAACTGCAGATATTTCACTAAACTACAAACTGCAGATATTTCACTAAACATCACTTCAAAAATAACCAGAAGTCTCTTAAAGGATGCAGAACTACAAAAACCTGTCTTGGTTCTGATTCCCATGAGGGTTTTTTGGACCGCGTCAGATTGACCCAAACACAGGAAACAACAAAGCTTCACTTATTGACTGATTCTGATTGACCTGTGAGCCTCCAGGTTTAAACTTCCAGCAAACGCTGCTGAAAGGCCTCATCAGTCARCATGATGTCATCCACAGCGGCTCCATGAATTTTGGCAGATCTATAATTCATGAAACAAACAGATAAATAATTTTACCCCCAGTGGTTTAATAGTGTGTTCCTGCATGTTTGAGGCTCAAACAGATTGATGATGATGGTCATCACATCTTGACATCACAGACAGTGCAGTGCCCAAACACACTGGACTTCCTCCTAACTGAATATTTAATGTCGCTCACATTATCAGTCAGCAGAGCAGAACGATGAATGCCACCTGTTCTGCCCAACAACCTGATCAATTCTTTCCACTCCAAACTTTGGAGACAGCAAAGTAAAAACCCTGAACAATCAGCTGAAAGTCAAAAAGAAAAAATAAGTAGGTCCTCTGGACGGGTTCTTCTTTAATGAAACGTTTCTTCTCTCCTCCAAGAGACTACCTGGATTACTGAGATGCATCAGGACAATCAGCTGAAAGAACCTGACAACTGAAGGGCTGAGAATTTAAACAGCTGTTGTCTTTCTTTACTCTTTCTGCTTCGACTCCACTCCATATGGTAGAGAATTAAAGGAAGAAATCACTGGGTWTATTTTGTTATCACTTCTCAAAACCTGTTAAAAAGTGCTGGTATATAGCCTGGAAGGAGAAAACCTAATAGGTTAGTGAAAACATGAAAAAGTGCTGCAAAAACAGGAAAATCAAAGGCAACAAAATTACGTSATTTAAAATCCAAAGATTTCTAGGCTAAAATCAAGATCAATTTGTTTTAAAAGTGAATACACAGAATATGTCTCAGACGGAGTTTAGATGTTTAATAGACTTATATTTTTATTTAAATATAATGACAATAAAAACACCTTCAGTGGGATTGAACTYGTTCTCTGACTTCAAATCATTAAAGCACGACTCACCTCACTGTGACTGTCGGAGACTTTGTGACTTAAAATTGTGAGAATATTGAAAAAATATATGTTTTCATTTGCAGTCCCCTCAAAATGTGAGAATGTGTGATGTGTTGAAAAATCGGTTTTGCACAGACAGTTTTCTTTTAAATCGACGTATACTGTGTTTGTGTGTACAGCTGAGCTAAAAGCCAAGTTGTCCACATTATTTTTGTTTCATACCTGACTCAGCTCCCAGCCGCCCTGATGATCATTTGAAACACAGCAGCAATATTAGAGCAATCTGCCCTGCAAWTCAGGTCAAAACTGTATTTCAAGGTAAGAGTTTTGCCCATTTTAATCTCCTTTTATGGCTAACGGGACAATAGATTGATATTTTATGACGAGTTAAATAAAGCGTCTTGCATCATGTTTTCATCTTACAATGAAAATATACAAATACAGTATCTTCATGACTTTTTGTCTCGTTTTGAGTAGTAAAATTTTGTCACAAAAAAATTACAAAACTGAAAATGTCCTGATGGGATAGGATAGGATTCATTTATTGTCATATGCAGGTTAACAAGAGTCAACAATGAATGAAATTCTTAGGATGAGAAGAAACCCTTCAACTCACTATAAAGAATAAAAATAAAAAAAGACAATACAGAATACAAAATTCAGTTTGCAATAGGTGCACAAAGAGTAAATGAACAAAAAATTAGGGTAATAAATATRCAGTGTAAAGTCAAAATGTTGAACAGCAAATAATAACTAAATAGCAAAGAAAACAACAACAAAATTTGAGTAACAGAAGCGTGCAGGCAGAGTGTACAACATAACATRCAGTATATACACACGGGGATGCCTCATTCTGAAGAGCAATATTTGGACCATGACTTCATGTGACTCTGATTTAAAGGAAAGTAAAAACACAAAGGAAATTGAACTAAACTGATCGAAAAAACAAAACAAAATGAAACATGTTTTAAAAATCTTCAAGGACAAAGTTAAAACCTGAACAGAGGCAGACCRTGACAGTACCCCACCCCCAAGGGTCAACCACTAATACTCCTGCAGACAAAAAAATAAATAAATAAATAAAAACTAGTCCAGCTGGAGTCAAACAGATCAGAGTCTCATCTAAAAGAAAAGTAAGCCTCAGCAGATATTTCATACAGATTTTTGATTTTGTTTAAAAACACTGTTCAGTTCAGAATTTCAATGTAAGGAAAACATAGTTTGATCCAACAGGAAACAAAAATGCTTCAGAAAAATCTTTCTTGCAGCTGATCTTGTTCAGATCAGTGACTCCTGGTCTGGTTTTTAAATAGGTCCAATTTCTTTTGTTTTAATCCAAGTTAAGTCTGGTTTAACTTGTGGTTTTTTTGTTGTTGTTGTTTTTTTACTTTGGAAAAGTTCCATTTTGAGCTTTTTCCATTTTATTTCTGTCTTTGATCAGTCAGTTTGCTGACATCCTGTTTTTCCCCACTGGTAAATAGAAAGTCTGGTCATTTTTAAAKTGGTGTTTAATGAAATAAGTCTCAGTGGTTGGTACTTTATCAGCAGTGACATCAGTATGGAACATTAAGTATGGAAAAAGAGGMAAAAGTCTTCATCCAGGCTATCGRCTAATGGTGTAAAACGATGGCCCAGTTTTTAAAACTGTCTTTCAGACAACTCTTTATATAAAGTGACAAACACTACATGAGTTACTATTAAACCTCTACACTTTTGTACAACATTTATTGTTTGGTTGTTGCTTTTTTCGCACTTACAAGTCGTAAATTTAAACTGGAATGCCCCTCCAGTGGGAATTCCCTGTCGGAAAGTGGGAGAGCTTAGAATTCAAGACCCACCACAACTCARCAGTGAGTAAAACTCTCTTATATTTACTTTTAATAGTATTTCTGCATCATTTGTTTCACATTTACTCAGTCGTACTACTTTTCAGTTATTATAAGAGGATGTGTTTAAACAGTTTCTAGTTAATACCAAGTAGAGCTCAGTTATTGTTTGTTAGCAGTGCTCAGCTATAGCAATGAGACTAGGAACGTGACATTTACTGTTTAAAGTTAAATACAAAATGTCAAAKTTAGTTATAACTGACCCTTTGAGGGCCATCATGATGCTCATGTGGTTCTCAATGAAAATGAGCTTGACACCCCAGAGTTATTTCTGTTAAGTCTCATCTTTTATTTTTCCTTGTAAATTGCATCTTGAATTATTTGGTGTTTTCTATTCCAATTAATACAATTTTTATTCTATGAGTGGCTTTTCCCTTGATTGAATTGAAAAGTAGCAGTCACAAAGTTTCAGTTCAGTTCATTTGAATAAAACTTGAGACATTTTGGCTGTGCTCTCTGTAAACTCAGCTCCAGCCTGGTGAAGTCTGGTCTTTGTTTATATTTGTTGTCTCAGAAACAGATGGAACAGAAAGCATCGATGTTACACTCAGACTTTCCTTTAGAGATTCTGCTGTGCAGCTTTGTGCATCCATAAAGTGTGTCAGGAGGATGTGGTGCAGGCTGTTGTGCAGGAAGTGCCTCCTACATTGGATTAAATCATACTGGCCCATTATCCAGCTGCAGCACGAACCAGACTGGACCAGACCGGGTTCTCATATCAGTTCACAGCAGGCATCGATCTCA